GCGTCGGGCTCTGTGCTGACTGCCAGCTCAGAGCCTGGAGCCTGTTTCAGATTCTGTGACTCCCTCTCTCTCTGACCCTCCCCTGCTCACGCTGTCTCTCTCTCTCTCTCCTAGAAATAAATAAAAATATTAAAAAAAAAAAAAAAAAAAAAAGGCACACCAAGTACCCAGGACAGAGACACGCAAGGTATCCAAACATTTAGCCCTCACAGGCCCTTCTTCTCGGGAAGTTACTGGAAGATGAGCCACAGGAGGGAATAAATGTAGAAGCTCCCTGAAATGAGGATCCACCTCAAAAGTGATGCCCAGCATCCAGGAAACATGGGACTGGACACAAGAGACCAGCAAAGGGCTTTCCTAGTAAGTCTGCAGCAAGGTGCAGACAGCCGCTGGCTAGAGATCACGGGTCCAGGAGGGGCAAGAAGGGAGGAGAGGCTGCCGGGGGAGAGTGGAGGGAAGGGCTTCCTGATGCAGATCTGCCATCTGTCAAGAGCCTGGAAATGAAATCATGACGGACACACAAGAAATTAAATAAAAACACGTGAACTCCAGGGGAGAAAAACTCCACATTGTTCAGCAAAGGAAACAGGATCTACTCTCAGCTGCAAACAACAGCCACACAGTCATAATGATCAAAAATAACGGAGGGGCGCCTGGGTGGCTCAGTCGGTTAAGCATCCGACTCCAGCTCAGGTCATGATCTCACGGTTCGTGGGTTCAAGCCCCGCGTCAGGCTCTGTGCTGACAGCTCGGAGCCTGGAGCTGCTTCGGATTCTGTGTCTCCCTCTCTCTCTGACCCTCCCTGCACGTGCTGTCTCTGTCTCTCAAAAATGAATAAACATTAAAAAAAATTTAAAGGATCATGTTTTCACTAACCCATGAATCCTGCAAAACGGTCTTACCTACTTGTATATAAAACCAATACTCACTCACCACCGTGCTGATGGGAAATGCATTTTTGTTACAGATTTATAAATATTTATTTCCAGCAATACAAAGGCATGTCAACATACCAATACACATCTCTTATTACCTTGAAGTTTTTTTTATAAACCAGAACAGTCAGCATTTAATAATTGCATTATATTCTTAAAAACTACTATATAATGTCTCTTCTGGATATACTTCCCTGCAAAATCTTATTTAAGTCCAAATTTACATCCGAAGCTGTTTCTTTCTTTTTTTTTTTAATATTTTTTATTTATTTCTAGGAGAGAGAGAGAGAGACAGCGTGAGCAGGGGAGGGTCAGAGAGAGAGGGAGTCACAGACTGAAACAGGCTCCAGGCTCCGAGCTGGCAGTCAGCACAGAGCCCGACGCGGGGCCCGAACCCATGAACCGCAAGACCATGACCTAAGCGAAAGTCGGACGCTTAACCGACTAAGCCACCCAGGTGCCCCCATCCGAAGTTGTTTCTATCTGACTATGTATAGCAACACCTAAATTCTGTTTGGGATGGTCCATACCTTCACCAAACTCAGAGCATCAGGGAAGACCACATCAATCTATGACTAGCTCATGGATTCTAAATTCAAGTTCAGACACATTCACAATGAGTTAAAAAAAAAAAAAATCCATAGTTGGAAATCAGTACCTGCCCTGCCAAATAATAAACCTAAAGATTTTATGGTTTGAAATATAAAATTTATTGATCCAAAATTAATTTGAGCACAGGTGATCTCTGCTCATTAGTACTTCCTAGTACTTCAACATACTCTAATTTTACACTCTTACCAAGAAAGAAATACAACTCTTATTTGCTAAGAAATGCATTAATATTAATTCTAATTTTATAAAGTTCTTCTTTACTCTCTCCTACATGTAAACTAATTTCCTTGACAACCTCTGACACCTTTTCCACAAAGCATTTCAATCCATCTCAAATGAGTTGAGAGGGGAGGGAAGAGTTAAAAATAAATAAATAAAAACAAGAGTTTTGTTGGCCATTTAAGTCTTTTACCAAGTTCAGATGATATTTTTGAATGCTATTACTTAAAATTCTTCTTGTCTCATTAATATAAAACTAATTTGGAAAGTTTATCTTGAATGCCAGATTAGGTCAATAAATCCTAATCTTTAGTTCCACAAAACAAGAGAAATATAATTATCTGAATGAGTTAAGCCAATCAACAATTCAGGACAAAACGCAAATTGGTACACTTGCACCTACTTTTCCTCAAATCCCACAAAGTGTAAGTTGACCAACTAAGGGTGTTCCTACAAAGTCATACAACGCTGAACAACCAAACTTCCATCTTCATAATTTCATCCTTTCAAAAATGTTTCCTAATATACCTGATTTTGACTTCAGGATAACCTGAATGGTATGTCCATCATTGGTGACCTCGCAGTCTCGGCAGACCACATAATTTGGGGACAGGCGGACGTCCAGAAGCGAGGGGTCATATCTAGCTTCTCTGGAGTTTAAGTTAATGGGAGACTGGTATTCCCCATTAGCATCGGGAAACACCAAGCCCCACTCAACACCTAAGGACAAAATGAAGCCAATTTAGAACAGGTTGAAAAAAGTTCCAGGAAAATTTAACATGCAAAGAGCTAGTTTAAACACTTTATTATCCTTGACATTATTAAAGTTATGACTGTTGTCTCTTTACAGATGAAATATAGTAATACATATATAATACATATATACATATAATACATACATAAACTACAAATAGCTTATTTGTATTTGTCCACATAGATGTAATAATTTACGACTCTAGGAAATTTAGGTCACCTTTAAGTGATTAAAAAAAGCAATAATTCTACACAAACTTCCTGTGCTCTTGAGTTCAATTATATGCAGTACGTAGGAAATACCTAAACTCTCAACTTCCTCGATGAGAGCCAAAAACCATAAACCTGATGCTGGTGAATAAACGCCTCTTCATCAGAATGCAAAAGCCGTAATCTGAAGGGGCATCTGCGTGTACAACCACACCTACACACTCGGGCAATACAGACTTAGTTCTCTTTCCACACTTTATCACTGAAGCCAAAAAGTCCACATTTGTTTCAACACCAGCACCGGCGGCCACATCTACCGGGACGCCTACATCTTCCGGGACACATGCACCAAACAAAACTTTTTAAAAAGTCAACCCCCTTCCGACCAAACCCCACCGATGCAGCCTGAAGTGTAGACCTTCTTCAGGAAGAGTCGAACACGGCTAGTATCCTTCGCGCAAGAACGCGCCCTGCGCGCGGGGTCGTCCCGGCAGCCCCGTGTCACCCACAGGTGTCGAGTCGCCGCTGACTGCGGGTGCGCAGCGCACGGAGGGTCCCGCGCAGCTCGCCGCCGGCGCCCCCCCTGCGGCCCCTGCGACCCCCGAACGCGCGGTGGCGCGGGAGCGCGCGAGACGCGCACGTGGAGAGCAGCGGGGACCCCGCGCCCGGCGGGGCGCACGACACGCGGCGCCCGGGACCCCCCGCCCCGGACAGCCTACCTTCCTCGTAGCCCCACTCCACCCCCTCCTCCTCTTCCTCTTCATCCTCCTCCTTCTCCGGGAAGGCGACGGAATCTTCGATGAAGCTCAGGTCAGCCATGGGAAGGCCGTGGGTCCCCTCGCGCGCACCGCCTGCGCCGCCGCGGGGGAGCGGGCCCGAGCGGGGTGAGCGCGCGTGGGGGGGGAGGGGAGCGGGGTGCGCGCGCCCGCGGGGGGTGCGCGCGCGGGCCGGGCGCGGGCGGGCGCGGACCCTGCGGGCGGCGGGCGCTGGGAGGGCGACCCTGTCCCCGGCGCAGCGCTGGCGGAGCCGCAGCCCCGGGAGCGGCGGTGCGCGAATTATAAACCGGCCGGGGGCGTGTCTGCAGCGCGAGGACCCGCCCCCCTCGCTCCGTGGCCCCTGGAGGGGGGCTGGGGGGGAGGAAGAGTGGACGGCAGGGAAAGGCTTGGGGCTACCGGGCCCCACGGGGGTAAGCGCAGGAGCCCCGCCCCCTACCTGCGGCGCCCCCTCCCCACGCTTCACCTTCCAGACCCCCGCGTGCAGGGCCGAGACCGGGGCTTTCGGCCTCCGTTTACTTTCTTTGGGCTTTCCTGCAGGAAACACCGAAAACAGAAAGGGTGGGGAGGAGGCGGGGAGGGGAGACACGGATTGCCGGGGTAGGAGGGAGGGCTGGGAGACCCTTAGGGAAGAAGGTTCCACTCCGATCTTCGCTGTTGGCTGTTTACTGTGTAAGTCGTCCTTGAAGGACGACGGAAACGAGAATGGAAACATTCCCGAGAAGCCTGTAGTTCCTAAAAGCATTTGAGACAAAATTGTTTTCACCTCCAGAAGTACATATAATTTGGGGAATTTTTTCCATTAAAAAAAATGTATCTCAAAAGCAAAAGTAGTGAAAAGCAATAGACAGGGCGTGTGGTTTTCGTTCCACCGTCTGGGGAGCTGCCGCGGGCGCCCTTTGCTGTGTACACAGCTTCCAAAACGCCTCGTGAAATCGCGTAAATAATGAAATGCACACATTGCATAACAAACAGGAACTTTCCTGATCCTAAGAGGTAACATTGTTACCGCTTTAACATGCTCACCAATGACGTAATGCCTTCAGCCCCCTGTTTGAATGCATGTTAAAAGCCCAAGCTAATAACCCCTGAGCAGGTTAACTATAGTTTTAGAAACTGTATATACATAAGAAGCTCAGATTTGATCCTCAGGCAAAATTCGTTTTTATCTGCAATGTGCACGCACCAAAAAGTCTGTGGGCAGTTTGAGTAGCTGGTTCCTAAACCATACCGTCCACTAAGCAAAGTATTAACCATTTTCACTGAAGTTCTTCTAAAAGAAACATTTCATTTCTCTTTCCGCTGTTGGATACTTTTTAACCTGTAGAAGATAATGAAATCATTTTGCCACCCTGAGCTCATGAGCAATGTGCGCTCGCCTCTGCCCCAAACGTGCGTAGATGCCAAACTGTAACCATGTGTGACCACCAAGTTCATTTACAGTATCACATGAGTTATAGAGATGTTTAGCAAACCAGAGAACAGCAGATCACGGTGGCAAAAAGCTCAATGTTCTGTGAGTAGATGGTGTGCCGTATCTACAGCAGATAGGCTGATACATTGGATTACCAATATTGAATTTTGCGGCTAATAGGCCATTTTGTATACAACCAACGCTATATCTCTATTCATAAATGCAGTTAGCTACTAGACAAGCATATGTTTACCCATATTTATTCTTCCTAAAGCATTCAACATCATGTGTATAATGTAGCTCCTCACTGCGAGCCTAGGATACCCTACTCAGCAACATATGAGCCATTCCACTGCACATCCAAGTATTCAATTAACAGCCTTAATTGCTTTGAGACTGTGTGCTTCAGATTTCTGCTAATTAACAGCACCTTAAGACCTTCTCTTCTCTGGTCCCTCCCTGTACTATATTATCACTAAAGATGGAATTTCTATTTCTAGTTATTGTAAGGTATTTGTCACCATAAAACCTAAACACACAGACCGAAGATATAGGCCAATTCTTTGATTTATAAACTAGAGCAAGCACACCTCAATCTACTATCAGAGAATCTAAAAATATCCCTGCTCTATATTATGAACATAAGCACTCCACATACCCCTGCGTGTAATTTTAAAATATTTCAACCTAATATCCTGTTGGGTTCCTTAAATGAACTTTCTATCGCTTGCTTTTAGCGTTTGCGTAACTGAGGTCAAACCACATCAGTAGAACTATTTATTAAAACTAAGACCTATGTAACTATTACTATCTGATGCTAAGAAAACAGAAATAGAAATAACTGGAAGGAACAAACTGGTCTAGATGTCACAAGAACAAAGAGCCACTAAGATGGCTTCACAGCACTCCTGACTTACACACCCCTCTCTTCCCCGTCTTTCCCCATCCTTTGCCTACCTTACCAAGACTTCCTCCCTGTGTTGGTGAGTTTGGGCCCTAGAGTAGTCGTGAACAATTATTACATTCTCATTGTATGCATCTTATGCTCTGGAACACCTCAAGGACAGAGCTAACACGTGGATGTCAAACGGCTTCTAACCGATTGTAAATTTCCGAATTTCAACAACAATGAATTTTGCTCCTTCATGTGCACTGCCCTGCACTGTGCACTGTGGGAGACCCCAAAATGAACTGCACTCTTTCTGCCCACAGAAATTCACAAGCCATCAATCCCAAGGAATCTTGGGATGGGGAGGAACAATCAATAATTAACTCTAATAAAGGCAATATATTTAATAGATAGGCAAGCACCATTACATGCAAGGAAGATGCAATTCATACACATGGGAATGATCAAGGAAAGTTTCTTGGAAAAGATGGCTTCTAAGGCAAATGAAAACGGATGAGTAGTATGTAGAGAGCAGTGAGTGAGCAAATAGCATTTTAAGCACAAGTAATGGTGTCTAGTCATGAGAGTGCTCTTTGAGGATCTGTTTTTCCTTGTCTTCCATGACCTGCCAAGACCAATCTAGAATACTCAGAAAAAGTGTGCTTCAATGGGATGGTGACTGAAGTAAGACACTTCTTTGGTTTAGTTTGTCTGATTTGTCGGTGAAGACATTGTTAACCTTAAAAACAAAACAGTCAGCTATTTTCCCAGCAAAAATAGATTTATTCAGGAATATAAGAGAATTGCAACTTGGGAAATGTAAGCTATGGCAAAACCATAGGCAAGTCCAACGAACAAAGCAGAGGAATACGATTTTATGAAGAGGAAGAGTTTGGAAGGGGTTGTTTTGAATGAAAGTCCATTGGAGGAAAGCAAGAGTTCAAGGTGATAATTGGCTTGAACCATTGGCTGAGTTGCAGGGTCATTCATTTCTAGTAGGAGATACAATGGGCATCCGTCCCTATTGGGGCCTGTAATTGATGATTTTTTTCCAGTGGACAATTCTTCTGCTCAAGTCTCTAATGGACAGTTCTTCCTATGATACACATTTGAGTGATACGTCTCCCCCTTCTGTGCCTCCTTCTGGCTCCCCAACTCCATTTTATTGAATTTTCCCTGTGTTAATTTTCACAACATCAAAATTTTCCTCATTGTGTACATTTTGATGTCTGAAGCTTTCAAGTTTTGCTTCTAAGTTCTGATTCTTCCATATTTTTTTCCTTATCAGATTAGTCACATACGTTGCCTATTTAACGTTTTGTTTCTGGATCTACCTTTGTTTGACCTCTCGTTGATCTTTTGTCTTCAGAACCATCAGCTTTTAGTGTTCCGGTTCTGGGTAGCAGTGGCAGAGGCTGTACGATGGTTACTTTCATTCTCTGCCCCTCTCTGTGAGACTGTACTTCACCGATTGACCATAGGACCTGCTTTGACCAATTAAGTATCGGTAAACGTGCACATCCCTCTTCTAACAGAAGCCTTTCGAAGTTGTTATGTGGTTCTACCATCATATTTGTCCCTCTGTCCCCAAATTACCCAGTCTAAGAAAGGCACTACTTCTTCAGTCACTCTGGATCCTGGCACACAGAAGACCCAGATCAGAGCCACAGCCAACCAGAAATTGACATGCAATGTCAGTGAGAAGGAAACCTTTGTTTTACAAGCCACTGAAATTTGGGGATAATCTTTTACAGCAGCACAACCTAGCGTAACCTAGCTGCTACAGTAGCCCATCGGGTAAAGGTGAGTTCAAGGGTAATTTTCACTTCCTGAAATGCTTTCTTTCGCCTTTTTCTTCAGCGTAGAAGTACCTCTCTGACCTGCTTTAGGAAACTAAACAGTCTAAAGCAGTGCCCATATCCCTCCTTGCAAAGTTCTCAGAAGCCCTGGCCCTATCTAGGATCCTCACAGTCTTACCACACAGCTCGAAAGCCCTTTGCCGTAGGAAATGCACATCCTTTCCAAGGAAACATGGGTCTAACTCTCTTCACTTCTCTGAAATCACACCAGTTCCCCGTGGGCCCCTCCACCTAGAACGGAAATGGCAAAGGCTAGAGTTGGGATGTGGGATCTTTATGTGGATGCTTCTCAAATCTACCTTCATTAGGAAGCAAAACCTTCTCTAGGGAACCTTCCAAGTATACTGCCAAACTCCCGCTCAAGTGGTTGAAGCACTTCCATACACCGTGGTCAGATCTCTAGCCCTGAAATGAAGACTTAGTTGGAAGTATGTATTTGACAGCCATCTCCTCCAATCGACAGTGAGCCCTCGAGAGCAAAGGATTCTTCTTAATTCCTCCTTGCATCCCCCACGTAGCACATGGTGGGCACTTCAGAATTAGTTTCCTTGTGCCAGCAGCCATATGGTGACCTGATCAGCCTTTACAAATATATTAGTGCAATAAAAATTGTGATTACCATGGTAGAAGCTTTCAGGGTGCAGCGGGGCCACAAAAAGAGGGAGTGTTCAAGTTTACTTGGTGGCAGGTGTGTCAATAGGGGCTTCATAGAGGAAGTGCCCTGTAAATGGAAAGATAAATAAGTGCTCTTTTGCCCACAGAAGGGAAAAGGAAAAGAGGTTAAAACAGACATACCGATCAAACGGAAAAATAAAGAACAAAACCTCGAATACAGAAGCCAGCATGGCTTGGACTCTTTGATCAAGTTTATTTTCTTTTTCGATGTTAAGAGAAGGTTTTCTATGGTGTTAATAA